TGAATATCTATTTACCTTTAGCATGCAGTTTGATGGCAGCAGAATTGTGTTGGATATTGCAACATTTTACAATAAGAGTTGAATCAAGTAAGTAAATAGTTAGAATAAGGACATTATGTAGAAAAGTCTTTAAGAAAAATAAGAATTTAAGGGACTCAGCAGTCTGGCATATAAATGACACCTTATATAAACAAGTACTTGCTATATGAAGAAGTCATTTTTAAGACCTGAAACATCAGATGGGTGAATGGTGATATATCAAACATTATAGATGGACAATTTTCACCACTTGACATACAGAGAAAATTTCCAGTATATAGCAGAGGAAGAACGACTCTGGCACAATCTGGCAGTATCTCTTCTGTGGATCGTGGATGGAGATGCAGTGAGAGCAAAGCAACTGGGATTTGCAATACTGTTTGAGGATGGACATTGTAGAAGAACAGGGAGGTTCTGAGAAGAGATTCCAGATGGCTCTTTCTGAGTACTCATTGAATTTTACAGTAAACAAAACAAAAATTGTTTTTCAAGACTTATGTATACTGCCATTCTTAAAGAAGCAGTAAAAACATTGAAAGGGAAACAATGACTAAATATCACAAAATGAAAACCAAAGCTAGAAAAATATACTTAAGGCCTAAGCTGTAGGGGCTGGAGAAATGACACAGATGTTAAACACACTGGCTTAACTAGAAGGCCTGGGTTTGGTTCCTACACCCACACTGGCATTCTCAATGGTCTGTAAGTACAATCCTGGGAATCCAACATCCACTTCTAGCATTCATGGACACTGCGCACACACAGTGCACAGACTTACATGCAGGAAGAACACCATATGCATAAAAATAAAAGTTAAACATTATTAAGAATTATATAAGATTTGAGTAACCATATTAAGAAAATAATATAGCCATCTCAATTAAAGGGCAAAGACCATTCGATTGTATTTAAAAGAAACAAGTGAGTAAGTAGAGATACAAGACTAAAAATTGTGCTACCAAAAGAAAACAAATGTCAAACCTAAATGCATGGTAAAAATAAACAATTGTGAGCTGGGCGTTAGTGGCGCATGCCTTTAATCCCAGCACTTGGGAGGCATAGGCAGGCAGATCTCTGTGAGTTCCAGGCCAGCCTGGTCTAGAGAGCGAGTTCCAGGACAGCCTCCAAAACAATACAGATAAACCCTGTCTCGAAAACAAAAACAAAACATACAAAAATAAATGGTTGTAAAACTGGAATTAATGTAGTTTAGTCACTATAATAGCTGCTGTGGTTTTCGGCTGTATTTTACTAAATGCAGGCTGAGTGTATAGCTTTTGTGTGTTGATTGTACCTGGAGAAATCTGTAAAGTGATGTGGTGTATGTGAGGAAAGACAAAAACGCTAAAATCTTTGCAGTAGTGAAAGCCAACCCTTTGTAGATGCTCAATCAAGTGAGGAAGAATATAAATGCTAGTCTGGTATGTCAGAGTACGTGCATTTTTAAACATTACCCACAAAGCACAATACAGTATATACGTATTTCAGACTTGGTGCACAAAGAGCTTAAATCACATGTATCATATGTTTATGTAATCATTAAAATGTTTAATATATTCTTCTTAGCTTTCGTTTGTACACAATCAGACAGAAGGCCAGGCATGGGCACACAGAAATCACTTTCCATTTTCTGCTGTACAAAGCACAACACTACAGTCGTATCAGGTATTTAGAAATGCAACTAGAGTGACTTGGGAGAAAATTTGAGCTGGAAGAAAGCAGAGGCAGGCATTCTGAGATTATTGCATCAGGTCTAGACATAGATTTAAAAAACAGATCTATATGATTCTGGGTGGATGTGGGTACAATAATTGAATGTAATGAGGATTTAAACTGTAGGTACATTTGCACAATGGAGTACTATTCAGTGGAAAAAAAACAATGGAATCTGGAAATTTGCAGGCAAATGGATGACACTAGAAAAACCATCCTGAGTGAAGTAACCCAGTCACAAAAAGATAAACATAGTATGTACTCACTCATATATGGATTTTAGACATGGATCAGGGCAGTGCCAGCCTACAATCCCACTGCCAGAATCTGGGAAACAGAAACTTCATCTAGTGACTGATGGAACCTGAGGCAGTCACCCACAGCTAAACACTGAACTAAACGCCTGGAATCCAGTGACAGAGAGGGAGGAGTGATGAGCAAAGGGGTCAAGACAGGGCTGGTTTAACCCACAGAAACAGCTGACCGGAACAAGGGGGAGCTCTTGAACCCCAGACTGATGGCTGAGAGACCAGCATGGGACTGATCCAGACACCCTGAATGTGGGTGTCAGTGAGGAGACCTAGGCAATCTTTGGGGCTGTGAGTATTCATCGCTGGCATACAAATGGAATTTGGGTGCCCATCCCACAATGAGGTATGCTCTCTCAGCCTGGACTCTAGGGGGATGGCTTATGCCCTGCCCTTAAGGAAATAACAGACTCTTTTTTTTTCTTTTCTTTTTTTCTTTTATTATTATTTTTATTTTAAATAGCTTGTTTTACATGTCAATCTCAGTTCCCTCTCCCTCCCCTCCTCCTGCACCCCCCACTATCCTCCCCAGCCCCCCACCCTATCGCCATTTCCTTCCACATAGGGGATATCTAGAGTCTGTCATTTCACTCAGGGTAGGGTCCAGGCACTCCCCTAAGAGTCCAGGCGGAGAGAGCATCCCTCTTTGTGTTATGGACACACGATGTCTGTTTGTAGGCCAGGGATAAACACTGATCCACTGATCAGGGCCCCATAGGTTGCTCAGGCCTCCTCACTGACTCTCACACTCAGGGGGTCTGGATCAGTCCCCAGCTGTCGGTTCAGGGTCCAAGAGCTCTCCCATGTTCAGATCAGCTGTCTCTGCTGGTTTTGCCAGCCCATTCTTTGCCAATTTGCTCACCGCTCCTCTCTCTCTGTCACTGGGTTCCACGGGTTCAGTTCAGTGTTTAACTGTGGGTGTTTGCCTCTGCTTCCATCAGTCACTGGATGAAGGCTCCGAGATTCCCCCTTGGAGGACCTCGCACTCCCTGGGGAACAGAGTGGGGAATGGGGGGGGTGACTGGGGGGCCGGTTGGGGGAGCATGGGAGGAGGGGAGGGAGAGGGAGCTGCAATTGACATGTGAAGCAAGTTTGTTTCTAATTTAAAGAAAAAAGTCTACTTTGATATAGTAAGCCATATTTATAAAATTGGAATGAATTATAAACATTGTAAAACAAAATATTTCTCTGTACATTTAAAATAATATTTACATATTACAAATAAAGTGTAGATACTCAACATGCAACAACTCAGTTACATATGTGTTTCTATATACATTGACCTTATCAGATTTTAAATTTTTATTAGAAAAAAATTATGTAACTTCTAAGTAGAGTCAATTTAAAAATCATTTTTGACTTTGTTAAAAATGCATTCTCCTGGAACCCAGTTACAGAGATGGAGGAGTGATGAGCAAAGGGGTCAAGACCGTGCTGGTAAAACCCACAAAGACAGCTGACCCGACAAGGGGGAGCTCTTGAACCCCAGACTGATGGCTGAGAGGCCAACAGGGGACTGATCTGGACTCCACAAGTGCAGTGTCAGTGAGGAGGCCTCAGAAATCTCTGGGACCTTGGATCGTAGACTAGTGTTCACCATGGCATACAAATGAACTTTGGGAGCCCATTCCACATGGAGGGATGCTCTCTCAGCCTGGACACATGGGGAAGGGCCTAGTTCCTGCCCCGGATGAAATGACAGACTGTAGAGACCCTCCCAAGGAGGGCCTCACCCTCCCTGAGCAATGATGTGGGGATTGGGCTGGGGGCTGCGGGTGGGGGGTAGGACTGGTGGAGGGACAAGGGAGGAGGGTGGGAGAGGGAGCTGGGATTGACATGTGAAGCATGCATGTTTCTAATTTAAATAAAAACATACATTGATTAAAAACTTTTAAAAATGCATTCTATACTAAATTATTTTACCTTGTATAATTAAGAAGCAGTTATTTCTTTGACAAAATATAAAACCTTGAGTGAATGAGCATCATCTCAGAATTTATAAGAATGCTATAGGTCAAGTTTAGAAATCACATTCTTTTAAAAGAATGTTTTATTATGACAATAATGACAAATTAATTATATATTACTTTCACAATCAGGTTTCCTTAATTTGTTACCTGTATAACACCGTATAACTGTGTCAAAAAATGGACAGCTGCAGATATGTGCTTCCTGTTGAGCCTTATGCTGATATGGTATAAGGAGTCTTACACATGTGCCACCACTGCCCTGACTTTTTTTTATTCTTTAAGACAAGGATTTTTTTCTAAGTTTCCAAGCTTGCCTTTGAACTACTTCTGTAGTCTAGGTAGGCCTTGAATTTACAATACTCTTGCGTTAGGCACCTGAGTAGCTGTGATTAGAGATCTGCTTCAGCATATTTACCATGTGGAATTAAGAATTTTCTTACTGTTAATTACTCAATCCATTTACCAAAAAATATTTTAAAGCTAAGCATTCAAAGACAATATAGTTCTATCATAGACAATAGAATATTTAACCACTAGTATAATTGTTAAGGATCTACCTTAGTCAAAATATAAACCCAATAGTATTCAAAGACTGAGGTGTAAATGAATTAGAGAAGAATTTTGAGCTGTGAGACTCAACGTTATTTAATACTATCTCCTAAAAATACACAAAACAATCTCTTTTATGGCCAAGTATGGATATAGTCACAGATACGTAGCCAAGTATTGTGTGTGAATGTGGGAATTATAATGTATACATTGGCATGAGTATGTTTACTTTCAAAATCAGTTTAGCTAATTTTCTAAAATTATAATTGTTCTAATAATTGTATATATTACTGTTTATGTTGACTTTGTTGTATATGTATGAAATTGAATTCCGAGATGCAAAATATGGTTAAAACTTGTAAAAAACAGAAAAACGTTAGCAGTAATAACTAAAAAGGAATTGTTTTCCCTGTTTACACAGCTTGCAGACCAGGATTCTATAAAGCATTTGCTGGGAACACAAAATGTTCCAAATGCCCTCCACACAGCTCAACCTACGTGGAAGCAACATCTATCTGTCAATGTGAAAAGGGTTACTTCAGAGCAGAAAAAGACCCACCTTCTATGGCATGTACTAGTAAGTCTATGCATTTTGTATTTGAAAATTCTGTTTCTATTCATCTTATTCTCTGTGTTTAAAATTTTTAAAAATAAGTAAATGCACAAATCCCATGGGCTTTAGCAAAGCCCATCAAGTGGAGGCAGAACCAAGATCCTCCTCTAATATCAAGTCTGGCCAAGGTAATCAAGAATAGGGAACAGTGTCCCCACAGCCAACTAAGCACTATGGACAGGTCCTGATGCCACTGTTAGGAGCCTTACAAGGAGACCAAGATATACCACTGTCACATACATGTAGAGGGCCTAAGTCAATCTCATGCAGGCTCCCTAACTGTTGGTCCAGAGTCTATGAGCTCCCACAAGCTCAGGTCAGCTGTTTCTGTGGGTTCCCCCATCATGCCCCCCTCCTCTCGCTCATACAATCCCTCCTCCTTTTTTTCAGCAAGATTCCTGGAGCTCAGTTCAGTGTTTGGCTGTGGGTATCTGCATCTGCTTCCATAAGTTAATGAATAGGGTATCTCTGATGGCAATTAGAGTAGTCACCAATTTGATTACGTTAGATGGCAATGTCAGGAATCTTTTCTACTATTGCTAGGAGTCTTATCTAGGGTTATCCTTGTGGATTCCTGGGGGGTTTCCCTGGTGTCAGGTCTCCCCAACCCAGAAATGGACAAGACATCTCTTTCTTTACTTGTCCCTCAGTCCTGCCCCAACCTGACTCCCACACTCATCCCTCCCAACCTGCTTCCTCAGTTTCCCATTCCTCCATACCACCCCAAGTTTACTCAGGAGATCACTTCCATTTCCCATTGCCAGGGAAATCCGTGTGTCCAGAGGAAAACTTGTCATCAAGTGTTTGTGACTGACTTGCAGACAAGGAGAGTGCTTTTGAGTTTGTACACATCTCTCTCTCTCTATTTCTCTCTCTATCTCTATCTCCACCTCTGTCCCCCCTCTCCCTCTCCCTCCCCCCCTCTAGGATATTCAAATTAGATGTGAATGACATTTAATGAATGTTTTCAGAATTTTAAATGATTTGTTGGTGGTAGTTGTTTGCCACTCTTAGCTCTTTTACTCTTTGGGTGCCTACCACCCAACTCCCAAATAAATACATAGAGTCTTATTCTTACTTATGAATGCCAAGCCTTAGCTTGCATTGTTTCTAGCCAGCCTTTCTTAACTTAAATTAGGTCATCTACCTTTTACATTTTACTATTTCTGTATCATTTCTTTACTTCTTAATCCATGTCTGGCTATGTGGTTGGATGGCTGGCCCCATGTCCTCCTACTTTTTTGTCTTGTTCCTCAATTTTATCCTCCAAGATTTCTCCTCTTGTATATTCTCTCTGCCTACAAGTCCTGCCTATCCTTTCTCCTGCCTTTCGATTTTCCATTCAGATCTTTATTAGACTAAGCATGGTTTTTAGACAGGCACAGTAACACAACTTCACAGAGTTAAACAAATACAACATAAAAGAATACAACACATCTTTGTATCACTAAACAAATATTCCATAGCATAAACAAATGTAACACATCTTTAATATTCTACAATAATTTCTTTTTTATTTTTTAAGAATTGTGTAGTATCTATACATTTTTAAAAATGTATCATTAAGATACACAGAAATAGAAGGTCACTCTTTAGTTTTAACCTCTTTTTAAATTCATAAATAAGCTCTTATAGGTGGCCATTTGCTCTGTTGATGATGAAATGTGTAACTGAGAATTATATAATTCATAGAAACAATAATGATAATGCATCATTTTTAGGTTCTCATAAGTTTAAAGCATTCCTTTTAAAAAATTGATTATATTTCATTTTTTGTGAATTTCATACATAAATACAATGAAATATCATCACACTCCCCAATAGGACTATGCCTCTCCCTAACTTCCCTATATGCTCCAATTTACCACCATTTTCACTTTGTCATTTTATTTTTCTTTGTTCCTTCCTTCCTTCCTTTCCTTATTTTGATAACCTACTATGCCCAATTAGACTTGGCCACATGTACCTGGTTTAGGTGCCATTAATTTGAACACTGGACAACTACCAGTGACCACAAGCTCAAAGAGGAACCAACCTTGTTTGGTGCAATGGAGCTTGTGATTTTGTCAGGTTTATAAGTGCTTTCGATTGTCTCATTTATATTCTCTTCTGAATGTTGTTATAATGTATTTGAATTTTGTCATTAAAATGCTTCTAGTTCACTTTTTCTCTCCAATAATGCAAATGCCTTGGAAAAGCAGCCATATTTGCATGTATCACTTTGAATCACTTCTTTATTGCATTTATATTTATGATACATACCCTACTGTGTTTAATTTGCCTTCAGTCACTTTAAGTAATTATATCAGAAAAATTTACTAAGGATCCTCATTTCCACTTGAATTGGAAATATCTTTGTCCTGTTATTCATTTCACTTGATTCTGCTGCACCATCTTTCTTGAAACTATATGCGGCTTATCATAATATTCTGTTGCACTGAAGACACCATGACCAAAAGACACTCAGGGAAGATATGGATTTATTCCAACTTGTTGGGTGTACTCAGTCATTGAGGGAAGTCAAGGAAGGAACTCAAACTTTATTTTGAAGCAGAATCCATGAAATAATGCTGTTTTCTGGCTTGCTCCCATGTTCTTGCTTAGCTAGATTCTTTATATAGAGCCAAGGATCATCCTCACAGGGAATGGTGCCATCCATGGTAGGCTGGGCCTTCCTTTGTTAATTAAAAATCAAAATAATCCCCCATAGACATGCTCAAAGGCCCAGGTGATTTAGACAATCCCTCAAGCTAGGTGTTCCTCTTAGATGAGTTTAGGCTATGTTACCTTAACCAACTTAAGGAGGGCATGACTTTCACTTTGAAAAATTTGCAATGTCCTTTTCAACCTCCTTATCTACTATTTTATGTTATGACACTGATAGTTTTTCTTCTTCCTATGATAGGTGTTGGCTTTATTCATGTTACTTGTTTACCTTGTCAGTACATTTTTATTCTCTCCCATAGTTAGAACTGTCATCTGTAGGTAGACAGTGTTGACAATTTATATAGTCCCAGTCTTGTGTTCTAAGGACCAAAGTCTTCTAGCCTTAGGGTTAAGGTATTTGATCACCTGTAAATCCTACAGAAAATTTCCCACTGCACTGCAGACCCTTGGACTTCAAAGATGCCTTTTTTAGTAACAGCATCTCCACCATTTGAAGAGTTCTCTCCATTAGGATTCTTAGGGATGCTTACATTCCACTTTGCAGGATCAAATATCGTTCTCAGGATAGTTATTTTCTGACCAGTCTTTCAAAAATGCCACCTGTCCCACTTAATGTTTTTGTCATTCTGTTTTATGTTTTATGCACTGTATTATTCTTTAAAATCCTTGGTTTATTTCTGTTCCTGCATCACTATTTACTGTCATTTTTATCACACGAGACCACAAGAGCCATGGGACCAATGATGCTTTTTGCAGACTGCAAACTCACTGCTCTCAGAATAGTACCTGGCATACAGAAGGGCCTTAATATTTGATGAACAGAGAAACTAATCAGTCCAAGCTTAACTTGCCAGATCCAGTTTTATTACGCTCGACCTTCACTTGTTCATCCATCCTTGTTCTGTTTTCCTTATCTTGATGAACCTTCATTTATCCATGATTTCAAGACAGGAGCCCTAATTGTACTTCAAACCAAGAACATCCAAGGTCAAAACTCATTTTGTCTTTCTCTCTCCAATGTTAACTCTATCAAGATCCTTGAAACATTCCTAAAACCCACTTACACTAAAAACATGCTTGCCAATTTATACATATATTATTAAATTAAATTATTGAGATTCTTTTCAATCAACTGTAACTCAAAAAGTAGAAAGAAGTGAAATATGAAATGTTTTCTTTAATATCTCAATATAGTTCATATACACTAAACTTTATTTCTCAGATAATTTATTAATGTAAACTCTGTACTTCCCAAGGGGATCTGTGGAGGCAACTCCAAAGTGTCAGACCTTGGTCAATTAGGGCCATTTCTGAGAAAGTTAAGAGTACAGATAATTGACCGTCCTGGATTTTGCCAGGTCAATACTCACTGAGTTTTTTGTTTGTTTGGTTTGGTTTTTAAAGACAGGCAGGGTTGCTCTCTGTAGCTTAAAACTAAGTAATAATATAAGTGTTGCTTTAAAACACACTTATTGAAGCCAGGTAGTAGAGGTGCACACCTTTAATCCCAGCACTCAGAGGCAGAGGCAAGCAGATTTCTGTGGCAAGACTAGTCTACAGAGTAACTGCCAAGGCAATACAGAGAAATCCTGTCTTGAAAACAAAACAAACAACAAAATAACAACAACGAAAGTATTTATGGAATAGACAGTAAGGAATAGACATATGTTATATGAAATGTTAATACATAGATGATTAAAAGGTCAGGAAAACAGTACAAATCTGTGATCCTTGCACTTTGCTTTTTCTCATTATTTAAATCGTCAAAACTTTGATTCTTTAGAGCAACTGAACATATGCTGCAGGATTTACACGTTTAATGATCATTTACATTGCCTATTTAGAAAGGTTCTAACCAAATGCAAACCATGCATGTGCACACCTCTCCTGCACACCAGTAAACACATTGTTTGTATTGGGATTGTCTGAACATGTAATCAAATACCCTACTAGTAAAAGAGTTTATGGGTACAAAGACTGGATACAATGACAGTGATTGGGAAGGAAGCATAAAACTTCAATTTACTTTTGGTCTAAAGTGAATATTGTAAAACATGGTTTCATTATTGCTGGAATAATTGGCCACTTCAGAGAGTCATTATCCTCCCATTCTTATTTTGAGCAGAATAAATGCTGCTTGCAGTACAGCAGGTGGGCTCTTGCTTTTCAGCAGCTCTAATCAGAACCTGCACTTCCTGGATGGGTAGGGGAGGCCCTCCATCAGATCTCTCGGCTCTGCTTGCTTCCTCCTCCTTTTTAAGCCTTCTTTACATGTTTTTCAAGTAATCTTTTCCCAA